GGAGAGGTGGGACAGGGGCCAGGAGCAGCAGTAGGGATGGTGGCCCAAAAGTCCTTTCCTGTGGGCTGGGAGTAGCAGGAGGCATGGTGGTTGGGAAGCCTCTTCCTCTGGACCAGGAGCAGTGGGACGGTGGCCAGAAGCCCTATCTCTGGGCCAGGAGCAGCGGGACTCAGTACTGTGGTCTGGTGGTCTGGTGTCCTCTGAGTCTTTGTAGTGTGGAACCAGGTGGCTGTACAGAGGAGCCGGGGGGGTGGGGGTTGAGTCCTACTTCTAATGACACTTCAAGGCTCTCCCAAACTATATCTGGTCTTCTCTCTGAACTTCTAGTACTCACCATCTGCATAAGCCCATAATTCAGGAGATCTATTCTTTTCTTTTGTTGTTTGGTACCGGGGATTGAACTCGGGAACTTGCGCTTGCGAGGCAGATGCCAGAACCACTGAGCTAAATCCCCAGCTCAGATCTATTCATATTTTTCAGATTTTCTAGCTATTGGCCAAACCTCCACAAAGTCACTGAAAGTCCAGCATTAAACAGGGAAACTAAAGCAAAAAAAAAAACGCAAGCATCTTTCTAAGAATTTACTGAATGACCTAAGCACACATAGAACAGAAAGAAATCCAATTTCTGTGTACACCTCAACTAAGCCATAGGCCACTGAACCTGCAAAGACACTGGGATCTCGGAAAGGGCTAATTTATATATATATCTTCAAGGAGTCTTGCCCACTACTTTACCAAGACCAAAACGAGCCAACACAGACTCACCTGACATTCCTCCTTCCTGCTGTTGTATTTTTTCTGGGTCTTCATTCATGCTTATGGTCTCATAAACACCATCTTTTATCATTCCCATTATTACATGTAATTTTCTCCACTTAATTGTTCCCTTCACTCCATAAGTATGCCTAAACTGCCTTCCTGTCCTTTTCCAGGCTCCTTACCTATTTGCCAAATACAAAATTCTCTCAACTTTATCACTTTTTCAAGGAACCAGCCTCTCTCTCTGCTTCCATTTCTGTACTACCAAAATGCCTGACACAGTCTTGGTGGCTTCTTAACTGCTCTATAATCTGGCTTACAGCTCAGATCAAATTCTACCCAGCTTCTTGTTCAGGTCTAATATCATTTTTCCTAGGGATGTTACTTTAATTTCCCCTTATCTGGAAATACTCAATTCCTCCTTTCAACTCCCCAGCACTTTATGTGTACCTCTTTTCCTGGAACTTTTATTAGTCACCTAATACTATAGCAGTTTATGTTCATACCTTCCCTAGTGGACTAGATGGTGATGATGGTAGTGACGGAATATGATTTATCTCTATGGTTCCATCACCAGTTTCATAACAGCAAGTTCATAAACATTGGCTGAAGGACTCTCTAATATGTAATATAAATTGTGAAGTAGAGACCACAGCCACCAAGCTCAGAAGCAGGATATCTGATGACGTAGTCACAGATTGACATATTTTTTTATCTTTGGACTCAGCCATGAAAGTGAAGGACTATAGTAAGTTTCTTCAAGCTCTTTTCCAGCTGTAATATGATCTTCCTTGAATTAATATCAATCAGTAAAGGAAATCAAGGACCAAGCTCAGCCCCAAGTTCCTCTTGGTCTAAAAAACAAGTACAAAAGAATATTTCCTTTCCATTTCCTTTCTATAGACAAAATATCCTAGAAGCAGAGTCACTTAACACTGAACAATCAGGGAGGAAACAAAATAGCATGGATCACTGCTAACCCCATCTAACTCATAGGTGCAGTTCTTGGTAGCCCCTTTCGTACCATGTTAAAGTGGCTTCGGCAGCATCCTTTACCCTCATAGATGCAGGGTTTGGCTCCTTATCTCCTTTGTATTTGACTTCTTGATCACTGTTCTTGGACTTACTTCCTGAGATACCCAGTTCTACAATCTCCAGTACTTCTTTAAGGCAGTCCTTGAAGCAGAAAGGGAGACAAATTTTTTAAATACATATTATAAAAGATAAGGAATCCATCAAAATGCTAACAGTGGTGATGTTTTAACAGTGGTAGTAGGCTCCAGTTTCTAATTTTAATAGGTAAATATTGATAAAGTAGTAATATAATAAATTTTCTACTCCCTTTCCAAATTTCTTAGAAGAACTAAATCTGAATGATCAGAGAGCAGATAAGAAAACTAGGGCTGGGGATTTAGCTCAGTGGTTCCACCACCTGCCTCACAAGCACAAGGACTTGAGTTCAATCCCCGGTACCAAAAAAAAAAAAAGAAAACTAGATTCAATTTTATTAGTCACAGAAATTCCTATACAATTACCATGGACCACAAATCATAAAAGGCCAAATGAAAGAGATAAAACAGTAATTCAGCTAAACCTGGGATGGTTTAAGACAAATGATTTAATATAGTTAAGGAAAGCTCATCAGTGATTGACATTTTTAAACAATTTCTGGTAGTGTAACTTTAAAACCCATAATAAAAATGACTAAAATTTTATCAACAATATTGTTTTTTAAAAATTACATAAAAATGTCTATAAAGTCAATTATCTTGATATCTTTCTTTTACTTTCACTGTGAATTCTTTATTAATACCTGCTTCCCCACAAGGAATAGTGGCAGGAAAAGCATACTACATATTTAAGTTCACTTGAAAGGACCAGGTGGATTTAGCTCAGCGGTTCCAGCGCCTGCCTCCCAAGCGCAAGGTCCCAAGTTAGATTGCCGGTACCAAAAAAACAAAACAAAACAAAACATTCTCACACTTGAAAATGGAAAAATAAGAGGACTGGGACTATAGCTCAGTGGTAAAGCACTCGACTAGAAAATGGAGAAATATGTGTGAAATTACAGATAGAAGCAACTTCTATAGACAAGCTGTGCTCTAGCTTTGCAGGTTAGCAATCACTGCCCTTATTGCTTTGATACTATATGACCAAAGTATATAGCTATCTATATACTATAGCTTACTAGCTATCTCCAGGCTACCAACCTTTCAATAATAATTTCAACAGTTCAATAAACTAGGCAAGGCCCCCTCTTTCTAAAGAACTTCCTCTATTCCTTAATTTGCAACCAAATATACACATGATACAGTTTGTAAGTAGTGCTCAAAAGAGTAAGTGTTCTACTGAAATCTAACAAATAAATTCAAAGTGTGTAATAGTGTATTTACACTGAGATATTCTCTTTTAAAGGTATTTTCCCAACATACATTTTTGTTTCTATTTAAAGTTTTAACACTGAATGAACCCACCTTTTCATCAAGCATATCAGGGTGCTCTGTCAGCCAGACACAGAGACACTGAAAAGCTGCCACTATCATGGAGTGCAGATCCCGGGAGTGAAGAGGAGCTGGCCTACTGCACTGGTACACAATGTAGCTGCACACGGAACTAATGGCTCGCTTCCGGTCTCCTAAGTCAACCATCACCTTCACCTAAGCATGTTCATTTGGGTAATAGAAACAATTAGTCAGGAATCACTGTACCAATTTCAAAGCATGTGCACTGAGGTTACACCACAAAAGGCTTTGCTTTTTAATATTTATATATAGGAACACAATACTTAAGATGTACTATTATACTCTACAAAAATAAAAAGTGCCAATTTTCAAATCTTAAAACAGTATTTCATTTTAGCATGGTTTTTCCTTTTTTTTTTTTTTTTGGTACCGGGGATCGAACTTGGGTCCTTGTGCTTGCGCAGCAGGTGGCGAAACCAATGAGCCAAATCCCCGGCCCTATTAGCATGGTTTTTCATGCCCTAAAATCCAGGACTTGTAGGGTGGGGATTTAGCTCAGTGTTTCCACTGCCTGACTCACAAGCGCAAGGTCCCGAGTTCGATCCCCGGTACCAAAAAATAAAATAAAATAAAATCCAGGACATGAAAATAGGTGTTGGGTGCATCTATTCATCTTTACCAAAGACTGAAAGACTTATTGGCAAGGGAAGATGTGCACATTTTTAAGCCTCCTTAACCCAACCTCACCATGATGGTCTGTGCTCTGCACAAAGCACTGTGTAGCTGCTCAGAGGCATACTACAATAAACTGCACATATGAAGATAATGAACATATATACATCACCTCAGAAATCTCTTCATGTACCTTTGTAATATTCCTCCTATTCCTCTTTGCCCCCTCTAAGCAACTACTGATCTGCTACCACTATAGACTAGTTTGCATTTTCTAAAGTTTATATAAATAAAATCATACAGTATGGACTGTGCAGGGGGGCTCTGGCTCCTTTTTCTACTTGACATATTATTTTCATAGTTGTCTACATGGTGGGGGGGGGGGTTGCTGGGGATTGAACTTGGGACCTTGCACTTGCGAGGCAGGCAGCAGAACCACTGAGCTAAATCCCCAGCCCAGTTATCTACATTTTTGTGTATTGCTTATGTGTTCCTTTTTATGGGTTGAGCAATATTCTATTGCATGGAAAAACCATGATTTGTTTATCCAGAACCTGTTAATGGATATTTTATATTTTATACTATTTTATATATTAGTCTCATATGATCCTTACAACAAGATTATCTCGTTTCATGCAAGATAATTTTGCCCATTTTATTAATTAAAAACCAGATACTAGTGAGGATTTGGGGATTGGAACCATAGTACAGTACATTTCTGGTGGGAATGTAAAGTGATTCGGCAGTTCCTCAAAAAGTTAAAAATAGGGCCAGGGATTTAGCTCAGTGGTTCTGCTGCCTGCCTCACAAGCACAAGGTCCCGAGTTAGATCCCTGGGACAAAAAAAAAAAAAAAAAGTTAAAAATACATATATACTACAATTTCACTACTCAATATATACCTCAAAGAATCCAAAACTGGTATTGAAATAAATAC